TTTTGGATAATCTTATAAAGGGATGTAAATAAAGCATTCATTCACCTTCTGTGATTTTTCTTTTTTCTGCCAATAAAAAAAATTTAAACCGTTCAAAAAAAAAAAAAAAAAGTGAAGAAAATCATGTCCTTCAATTATGATTACAACATGAAAGAATTGATGAGGACTTTTGCCAAAGTTTTAGAAAATGATTATGATCAGAATAATACGAGTGGAAATAATCTGGTGGATGAAATTATCAAATCATCACAACGTAGATCTATCGCTGATAATGATTTTCTTGAATGGATTGATTTTAATAAATTTGATAATTTACAATATATTACATGCGGAGGAATCGGGAACATTCATTCCGCTATTTGGAAAGATGGTCCAGCGAGGAGCGTTAGCCTATGTGATAGGCTATTCAATAGGGAAGGAGAACGCGTCATTGTTGTAAAATTTTTCAAAACGAACAAAGAATTTCTCGATGAGGTACGTATCATGATAAATTTATCAAAAAAGTTAATCAAATGAAAATCCATGATTAAATAAATACTTTTTTTTTTTTATTATAATTATTATTTCCTACATAAATAGTTTGTAAACATCTTCAAGATGATTGAAGCTTGTACTAGAGCTTCTGGGTAAATAAATTGCGCAATAAAGAGAATCTTTTTTTTTATAATTTCTATTGATTTGATAAATTAAAATTTAAAAAAAAAATTTTTTTTTTTTAAAATATTATATATATATGTATATATATATATACTGTATGTACTGTATATATATTATATTATATTATATTATATATGTGTAATATATATGTAGTTCTGAAAATCTTGTACATGTTTTTGGAGCGACAAGGAATGAAAAAAATCAATTTGGTATCGTTACGCAATACATAAATGCCGGAAATCTTGAGAATTATTTAGAAGACAATTGGAGAACCATTACTTGGAAAGAAAAGTTAGGAATCCTTAAAGATATAGCACATGGTCTATCCAACTTACATAATGCAGAATTAACCCATGGAGATATTCATACCAGAAATGTATTCGTTTCAAAGGATGTTCGATCTACAGGATTTATAGGGGATTTTGGATATTGTGGAGTAGATGAACCCAATGTGAGAACACAAAGGAGAGTGATACCATTCATCGCCCCAGAATTATTATTAGGTAAGGCGTATACCAAAAAAGCTGATATTTATAGCTTTGGATTAATCATGTATCAGGTGGCCACTAATACGCGACCGAAGCGTTATAGAGGTAATAATCGTAATTTTGAAAGGGATATCCTCAACGGATTACGTCCCGGTTTTGATAAAGAGTTAATGCCTCATGGTTATGCAAGCTTGATGAGAAATTGTTGGAATAGTGATAGGAAGAATCGTCCAAAGGCTGAAAATCTTTACAAGAAATTTTGTGAATGGGAAGATACCTTTTATGAACCGGATTCTCCTTTTAGAATGTTTAGATTTCAAAAAGTCGAACCTTCTCAAAATATTGCTGCATTTGTTTAAAGTCGCTTTCGGTAAACCTTTAATTTTTTATCCTTTTTTTTTTTTTTAATTTTTCTCGTCATATACTGATCCACACCTTTTTTAATCAGACCAAATTGTAGTAGTAACGTAAACAATGTATATATATATATATATATATAATTGTCCAACAATTGTGTAATATTGTAATAAACGGAGAAATATCAAAATACTATCTTTTAATGTTATATAAGATTTTTAATTGAGAAATTTATTATTGAGGTTCATGTCTTATTGTCCTTCTTACTATTTTGGTTACACTCAATTAATTAGAGGATTACGCTATGGTTTCTTGGAATGGATGATCCATATTTTCGCCTATCAGGTGCGGAAATTAAAATAAAACAAGCTTGGCACTACAACTATGTCCAACTTTAAATTTTGAAGCGTTTTGAGACTAAAAAAAAAAACCAAAAATTGTGGAAAGAGAGGATACGAGAACGCCCAATTAATCAAGCAAAATGGATGATGATATATTCGGGTGATGGTAGACTTAATATTGTCTGGCGTAAGCAATACGTCAAATGAATTTTTTTTTCTTTTTTGAAACTCGCTTGAGTAATGTCCATTATGTAAATTATTTAGTAACTAAAAAAAAAAAAAAATGAAAGAGGAGAACAAGAAAAAACCACTTTACTGCGCAAGCAATTTAATCGTTGGTTACAAACGTTATTTATTACATACGAATTACACCTATGCAAAAAGTTTATTACTAATAAATTACATTACATGAAATTACTAAATATAACAAACTCTACTTTTTTTTTTCTCTTTTTTTATTTTTTTTTTTTTTTTAAAAAAAAAAAAAAAAAAAATCCTCATAATAACAATTTAGTTCCCTTTAATCTTTTATGTTACTATCTACATATAATAAATAACATTAACGTTACTTTCGTTCTTTTCTGTTATGCCGAATACTCCAAACTTTTATACAAATTATATTCAAAAATCGCAGCCACCTTTTACACTTTATTGTTCAATACGCGGAGCGAAACAAGCAGAATGTGTTGATAAATTGGAAGAACATTATACAAAATGTAAAGTTATTAATATCTTTCAGTCTAAAGGAAATTATTTGAAGTTGAACGACGTTACCACGGTATACTTTCATGCATATTTCAGAGCTTTGGTTTATAATGGTATCTTGGTAAGCATATCATGAAAAAATAAAAGATTATTATTTTTAATCATTTAATCAAAAAGTTTCTTAATATATTCGTAGAAAAACGCTTTGGATAGAGAAATGGGAGATGTATTGCATTTGATCGAGATGAATAGTAGGGTCATAATTGTGAGATTGCGTGAACCTTATCAGCTGGTAAAAAACGATATTTTATCATCGAGGATCATTTCCATTACGTTCGAATATGAAAAGGGTTCAATTGATTTAGAACCTGATAAATCAACAATGGAGCGAAGTACTTTGAAAGTAAAGGGTTGGTTAAAGGAACAAATGATTTATTGTAATAACGATAATGAGGAAATTAGCGATGATACTACAGAAGTAGACACTCAAGAATCAAGTGATGATGAAGAGTACATGATGATAATAGAAAGTGATGGTGAAAGGAAGGTCGATTTGACTTTTTTGTGATTTGAATTGCGAGACATTGCATGTGCTGATTGGTGAACTTACCAAGAGAAAGATGTCATTTCTTGTAATTAATTTTTTTTATTACTTAGATGTAAATAGCTGGCATACATATACTATTATAATCTAATGTAAGAGGATTTAATTATTAATTGTTAACTGCTTTTAAATCATTGATCTCAATTAGTGGTTAAGTTCTTTGTAAAAAAAAAAAAAAAATTATATTCCAAAATTAAATAATTTGTTCTTCTTTTAATCATCTCAATTGAACATTTAAGTTTGGAAGGATCTCATGTCTGAAACGAGGAGTTCCCTTATGAGATTGATTGAAGCAGTTTATCTAATGAAATGGAACAAGAACAATAATAAACAATTCAATTTAGCATGATACGATAATATTAGCAAATGTAATGAATTTGCTTTTTTTCAATATAAGAATTGGGTTATCGAAGAGAAAGAAAATAGACAGGTTTATTAACATTATGTTTACGTCCATAAGAAATTTGTAAATTGTTTTCTTTCCAAATTTTCTTTTTATTAATATTAACCCTAATTTTGAAATGTGTAGTTTCAAAGGGTTCCTTTCGTCATAGGAAAAAATTATTATTATTATTATTATTATTCTATTATTTTTATACGAAAAAAAAAAGGAAAAGTTGGTTAAAATGAAGTTACCTTTTGACGATTTTATATTTCAAAAAAAAAAAAAAAAAAACTCTTGTCTGTCTCATGTCATATTTCATGTCATGTTTCTTGACAAAGAAAGCGGCTTTCTTTGCTGTATTTGTATCTCTTTCCCACGGTGCCATAAACGGAATTACTTCAATAATTTTTTTTTTATGCGTAACATGACCTTCGAGTCTCGTAAAATCCAAAATCTCCATATTTGGCTGATTTCGATTTATCACGTGAAATCATCACGTTGTTGCTAGTTTATAAGAATAAGTCAAGGATTCCTTCCGTCGCGTATTGCATCACGATTCCATAATTTCCGTTCGATCTTTGGGTAACACCATAAACGCGAAGAAAGATGAAAAAAAAAAAGAAAAAAAGGGTATTTATTTTTTTTGTCAATATAAATTTCTTCGATTCTTAAAATTTAATAATAAAAACCCGGATTCTTTTGAACAACAAGACTTGATCATTTTATGAACGCAGACTTAATTGTTGATATAAAAAAAAAAAAAAAGTTCATTTTAATATTTTAATAATAAAGATAAAGCATTTTTGATCACATATAATAATAAATACGCGTTACCTCCGCATAAAGTCATCATTCGATTTAAAGAATTTAATCGCGACTTGACATTGTGGACTTCTTTTCGGTTCTATCTAAACCACTAGGATGTCCTTTTAACCAAATAGCGGAAGATAAATCTCACTTGATATGTGATTTATGCTAGAAAGTTAACTAAGATGTATCCACTACAAGAAGTGGTTTCTAACTGCTTTATTTGTAAAGACTTGATTATTTCATCGATTTGATTATCACCACTCGTTAAAATTTATCAATCGGACATTCGTATAGGACGTGAAAAGTTTTCAAAAGAAAGGGAAGCTGGTCTTTCTGTTTATTTCATTGTTTACAAAAACAATCAGGTGACTAAAAAATTTCACCCGCGTTCAATTGAGGTGGGGTTTATTTTAAGGACTCGAAATTTTTTGTGGTGATTGTAATTATTTTATTAAATAAAAATGATAAAATTAATCAATTGAAAGATCAATATAATGAAATACAAATTTTGAATTTTGAATTAGAATTATGAATTTTAACAATCAATATCCCTATTATTTTCCCACGGTGATCCAATAACTCAGTGTATGATTTTCAAACCTAAACATGTGCGGAAAATGCACGCTATATGATGAGAATATGTGCGAAGATTTGTGATGGATAGTGCGCAAATTTTATATTAAATATTTACTAATGATGTATAAGAAATGTTAAGTGCGGACTGCGCACAATTATTTTTTTGAACGTGCGGAAATTCATCAATCATGTGTACGCGCACATGACCACCCACTACCAAAATCATACATTACAATAACTCATTATTTTAAATATACACTAAAATATACATCTTCATATTAAATAAATAATATATGCATTATTATTTGGATTGTCGGGCTTTCGCGGCTTCAGCTCGCTTCATTGATCTCCTCTTATAAAGATACCTAATGAATCTGGACACCCATTTGGTCCATATAGAATAAGTTCCTACTATAAACATTAACACGGTAACAACTGAAGTTATCCTCCAAAAGTAACTATTGTTATAAAAGAAAATATTTTATTAAATATATTCAATGTAAATTATTTTCGATTCAATAATTAAAAATATTCATACCTCAATGGTTCTCCCAAATCCGCAAAATTTTCTCTATCAAAGTTCATTCCATAATCTATTTATTATAAAGGTTAAGATAAAGAATATCGTATACAAACAAATATCCACGAACTTTGATTTAAAAGGCAACTACATACATCCTGCTATGAAAGTCATCGGTAAGAAAACAATACTAAAAATTGCAATAGTTCTCATATTTTCATTTGTCTGATTTTATACAAATAAAAAAAAATTAAAATTTTTGAAAAAATAATAAGTCCCTAAAAAGAATATTATCAAACACGATACCTCATAAGAAATCATATTGAAAACCTAAATCGAAGATTGCAAACATTTATTAACGTCATTCGTAACAAAAATGCGGCAAAACCGTATTGCAACCAGTAAAATAAATACGAACCATATTAACTAAACTTTCCGTTATTTTGGTCATAGTGTCTAGATCTTCAACAATTTCTGCGCAATGATCCTGTCCGACCAAAAATGGAATTAGATCTTATTAAATCAACAATTCTAATAAAAACCAACTCACCGCCACGTCCATAAAATAAGTTTTAGCTGTGGAAGTAATCAGCTCTTTCTCATGTTTGTGATTTCTCAACAAAGTAACCAGACCCTGGATAGGTCCCAAAGTTCTTTTAAGAATAGTCAATTCTCCGGAAATCATATGAAGTTCTGAAAATAAAATACCTAATTAAAAAATAAACACGTAAAAAATGAAACTCTTGGGTTAACCGAAGAACTCACCATGTGTGTGATACAACTTTGGTCGAATCAGTAACCTTCCTTCCAATTCAGCTATCTGGTGTCGATAAGAATCCTTGATTGGAATAGCCCTATATAAATTATAAAATGAATAGAAATAAATGAATAGTTATTAAAACTTTTAAGACATATATTTGATGCTTACAAATCTACGATAGCATCAATAACAGCTTCCATTAATAAACTCGCATCTTGTGCAGTTCTTAATAAAGTCTTGGGTTGGATTATACGTGAAAGAATGGGCTTAAAAACTTGTCTTCCGCTATGTTGGAAGATGGTAAGAAGAATATCTTATGATTCCCAGATAGAAATGGTTAAACGGGTGACAATCATTTAACAAAAAGATATACTATGTTATTATAACTTACCATTGGTTAGTAAGAAGATGTTAACTGTTTCAACAGCAACATATAATTTTTGTTTCCTGTAAAGTCTATGAGCCTCCAAATATCTGCTATCTTCACGATGACCATGATGCAATAAATCCTGGCGAGATCTTACTCTTCCATCAGTCGAACTATCATCGTCGCTATTATCTACTTGAAGGTCTTTTTCGGAATCAACTAGAGTATGGAGCAATAGCGAGACATAAATATGATCTTTATATGGATCCAATTTCGTTCCTGAAGTAAATGAATTAAACAAATCGATAAGTTATACAATTTAGATATCAATTAATACAAGATCGTAGTTGTTTTGTAGAGCCTACGTTGTGAACTCTGTAAAATATCCTCAATAGCTAACGGGTGCAAATCTAAAATAAATAAAAAATTTTGTCAGCTTCCTTTCACATTTGACGATTAGTTTATATCTTTTTTGTAGCATACCATAATAGATGGCAAGAATTTTAATTACATCCCAAGAAATTCCGTCGACATTAATCCATCGTACTTTACTTCCTGATGGACGTGGTTTTTGGAGGAAAGCTTCTAATGATTCGTTCGTTAATCGTTCGGTATTAAATGCTTTTTCTTCGTTGAAATCTGAACAAAAAATATCACACTTGTTCTATAATATTTGATAACGAGTGGTAAATTATGAAAAAGGTACTTTGTCAATCGAAGCTTCAAGTTAATAAGAATATGCTAATCTTACATGAAGATCATAATCGACAGTTCTTGGGTCAATTCCTGGGTCCTGACCGACAGAAAAAATCTGGTCCGCTACAAGTATCAAAATTCAATTTTTTAGCCATTCACCAATTAAACATAATTTTTTAAAACCTTTCTTTTTTTTATGTATAATACCTGAAAGAAGGCGTTGGACAGCAATAACTTTTTTAGTTAAAGCTTTGAACCTTTCTTTTCCTTTAATACTACTAGTTTCACTAGCATTATCATCCATAAATGATCTTTTTTTAACAAAGGGTGATGTGCTTTGCTGTTCTATTACTATTTCGGGAACTTTTTCATTTATTTTATTGCTCATTTTCTCCTTACATTTATTAAGAGATTAAATATTGAAAAAATTTTTTTGTTCAAAAAACGGGAAAGATTATATATATATATATACTGTAAATATGAAACAGAAATGCTATTTCTAATTACCTTACATATTTGGAATGAACAAATGATTGATCATTTCTAAAAATGAGTACATAAAGCAATACTTTTTTACAGGATGGAAATATTAAATTTGTGTAATAAAAGAAAACTTTAATTATTATTATTATTATTACCTAAACAGTTGGTAAAAGCCACAATGATCAAAATGATGTCATATTATATTACCATAGCATACAGTACCTGCCTGCAACCACAGATATTCGGGCGAACTTAATTAACTATTTAAGATTAACTATTTATAGAATTTAAGAATGTATGGTGGAAATGAAACCAAAAAGTTATCTATATGCTATTTACATCCATTTTTTTTATAAAAAACAGTTGC